GTATTGCATTTGTAAGAGGCTGATGACAGATAACTGGAAGCATTGAAGGCATTTTGTTTGAGCTGCCCCTCTATAACCATTGACAGTGCCGGGGAGCTGAAGGCAGATTTAATGGAGACACAGTAGAAACAACCAGAGTTTTAAAGCAGATGGAAGTGTACTTAAGATGGGGATGGGTTGTTCCCCATGCTATGCTTTAACTGCTCCTGAAGGCTCCTCTGAAGTTAAGCAAAGTGACCTTGTGTTCCAGTTTTTGGGTTGATTTCCTTTACTGCATCTTCATGGCCAGCTAAGTCGGGCAAGCTTTGCCACAGTGTGAAATCAGCAGGAAATGAGAGATATATATCAGCAGCAGGCTAAAAATAAGATAAAGCAGGCAAGAGTACTACTGTACCACACAGCCCAAAAGTGGTTAGCATCCGAATACCAGATCGTTCTTTGCTTGTGTTCCAAGGGAACCCGTGGGAGACATGTGCAATGGCCCCTCACAATCTTTATGGTCCATGAAATGTTCATTGTGACTACTTTGGGTGAGAAGTCCTCTCCCTCTGGGTCTGTGCCTGTGTGCTAATTTTCAAGCTACCTTGCCCAAATTCCGCTGCCATTTCCCCTTGATGAGTCCCTGCTCATAGGCAGAACCTGGCTAGACACAAAGATCATCACACCATGGGGCACTGATGACATAAAGGGGTTTTGTATTGTCCCTATGGGGCTGCCAATCACCAAATGACAGAAAGGCCTTTCCAGCACAGTAAATGACCATTTTTATGCCAATGTGTTATTATGGAGCATTTATTATAAAGTATTTTAGGATTTAAAGGATGTTTTCTTGTTTTCTCAGACAGTGGAGCAGAGTGGGCAGTGCATTGCACAAGAGACTCGGTTCTATTTTCAGCTCTAACAATGGCATAAAATACATGTCTGGGAATAATTCACTTCACCTGCTGTTAAATGAGGTAAGGAATCTTGCTTTACTTACTCAGAAAAATGTTTTGATATCTACTGATTTAAAACAAATAGATCAACATAAAACAGCATTACTAAAGCGGGCTGTTTTAAACCATTCTACAGATGAATGTTCCTCAGAGGCAGCAAGAAAGAGCAAAAGAGGCAGTAACAGCTTTAAACACATAAATGCCAACTCCAGCTTTTCTCCTGCTTTCCTTACTCAGACTCCCCTAAATTTCTGCTTTTCCCACAAGAAATTCCCAAGGTGTGACTTTGCCCACAAGCAGACACATTAATTTGAGACTGGGGGCAAGAATTATTCTGACTTTTGAGGAAGAAAGCACAAGATTTGTAGAGGATCAAACAAAACGTATGTGAAAAGCAGTATCCATTTCTCCGTTGAAGGAGAGATGTGCTGGAGGCAGAAGGTGAAGCACAGCATAAGAAAAGCTTTGTTGGGACCCATTTCTGCATGTTTTGATGACAATAGACTCCGTCTGGGCTGAATTTTGGGCAGTTCTGCCTGTACAGACTGTGATGGAGGGGGAAGGGGATACTGGAGAAGAGCGAAAGGGAGGTCAGGATGTTCTCATAGGAACTCCAGGCAGGAAGGGACCTCTGGGGTCGTGGTGTCTTGCTCAGGGTCTCACATCCCACCACATCCTCTAGACCCTGCAGTCAACTCAGCAAGCTTCACATCATCCTCAGCTACCTTAGCTTAGGGGGCATTATAATGCAGACATCAGAAGTGAAGGGCTGTGATACAGCCTTTTTCCTGCATTTTCAGATACATAAGAGCTAAAGCAATTAAGTTCCTTGGCTTGTTTGGGGATTTTTCTCCTTATTTTCCTCTTTTAGGAACCCACCCAGAAGGCTCTACATTAATCAATAGTAGTGAGGAGGCTCTCACCCACCAGGACGTACAGAACTAGAACTTAGAATCATAGAATCATAGAATAGTTAGGGTTAGAAAGGACCTTAAGATCATCCAGTTCCAACCCCCCTGCTATGGGCAGGGACACCTCGCTCTAAACCTTATTACCCAAGGCCTCGTCCAACCTGGCCTTGAATTGCATGCACTGAAACCCAAAAGTGCAGATCCCATCCCATGTACTTGTCCCAGCAAGGACTTGCATGAGCGCATTGCCTGCTTTCCCAGGAACAATGCAATGCAGCTTTCAAATTGGTTTCCTTCAGGTTTTGCCCTTTTTCTCCCTTCCATTTCCGAGTTTACCTGAATGGATAATGACTGATATGACTGGGTTTAGCTAAAATTTGATGTAACAATTTTCTGAGCCCATGCTTAGATCAAGGACTCTTTGGGGGCATTTTGTTGTGCAAGATTAAGCTGCTGAAGGGATAGTCATGATTTCTAGGTTGGATGGCAGATGGAAGGGACAAAGAGCTTTGGGTACATGTCAGAGTTCACAGGACTGGCTGATTGAAACTGTTTTAGGGGTAATTGTTAACATAATACCTGAAAAATCAGTCTCATTTTCCAGAGGATAAGAGCTAACTAGAGTTCAGTGCTTTGTAGCTTATGGCCATTTTTATTAGCTCTTTAATGCAACCAGTCATTGACCCTACAGGGGTCTGTTCAGAGCTGTTCTGCAGCCCAGGCAATTGGATCAAATCTCCCTTCTCTGGGCTCTTCTCATGTAGTGAACATCTCCTAAATGGATTCCATTGTGAATACCATGTCCTGGCGCTCTCCTGCTCCATGATGCTGAATGTGCAAACAGCTTAAAACAGCGAAGTGAATGCTGTGTGCTGTGCTGTCTTTTAAAGTGTATTCTTGCTGGGATAAGAGCACTTTGATTGACACGGCTGGAGCCTGAGATGTTTTATTGGACATTCGAAGTGGTCTGTGACCTGACACCTTTCACAGCTATCTCCAGTTCACCTCCTATGTGCTGAGACTCTCATTATATACAAAGGGGGGAGTGGGTTCTGTAAATTGCTCCCATGTATTTGGCTATTTAATGGTTATTGATTGTACAGTGGCATGGTCTTATAAGTCCTCTATTGTTCTCTGCTGGATTGTGACACTGTCCCCTCTCCAACTCATGAGCCGCTGTGAGATGGCACTATTTCATATTATGTAAATAGCCATAAATGCACAGTTCAATATTAACAGCACTCCAAATTTCAGAGCTGGGCTCAGTCAATAAGATTATTAGTGAAAGGCACAGACAGCTTTGCAATGGATTAGGCACAGCACTCTCCATGGAGAACAGAGTCACGAGGGTTAGCTCAAATCCGCTCAGCAAAGGATGCTCAAAAAAGACACATGGTTATCCCTTTGGACTTAAACTAAGAACAAGATTCCTAAAATGCTTCAGATTATACCCTTATCTTATTTGTCTCTGGGAGATCTTTACATATCTCAAAGTCAGCAACTATATAGTTTACTTAGCTTAAATACTTATTAACGTGACAAACCTGTTTTCAGTACCAGTGGAGTCATCTGCAGCACAGTGAAGTCTGCGAAATGCTGTGATTTTGGACAAACTGAACATAAATTAAAACATTGCACGGCTGCACTTCACAGTCCTTTGCTTAAGTACACTCTGCTAAGTAGACATTGGTTATCCTTTCTTCCCCTCCAACCTTATAACCTCAGTTATTCATTCCCTTGGCATCTTTGCTTAATGGGTATAAGTGACAAATGCTAATGAATGCCTGTGCCATTCGCACAGGTCAAGAAAACAAGCAAACATAAGATTAATACGAGTTAATCAGTTACTGTTCACAGAATAATTCAAGTCTTGAAATGCAACCTCTCTCTGTTTTTCATAATGGATATTTGTAAATCATTGCTGCCACTGATGCCACATTCAGCATCTTTTATGCCTTATAACTTCCAGCTTAATTTTAATAATGAAAGCCTTTTCAGTCAAACAGTGTTCTTTAGATTTAAAGTCAGCAGATTAATATGCACATAAAAAATAAGTACATCACCTCTAATATCTCCCCGGTGGTTAGGTTTTACTTTGCATGACTGACTCATTATAGCTAATTAATATTGGCATAATTACAGTTTGGCAAATTAAACTACCTGTCCATGGAGTAAAAACAGAACGACAGAACAGCGCCTTTGTAAGCAAGGCGGATGTGTAAAATCTCAGTGACTTGCTTCTATCTACTACAGACTGTCTGCTTGGGAAGTCTGCTCTCCCTCCAGGTCATATAATTCTGGTGGGTATAACTCTGGTGAGGTTTAACAGATAAGTGGTGTTGACATCCCTCATGTTGATCCATGCCAAAGCCACCACATTGGACAGGAATTAATCCCTCTCTGTCAAGCAGCAGGCTGCCAGCAGTGCTCTAAGGATGCCAGATGTTGGGTGAAACTTCACCATCTCTGGTAGATCCAGATGTCCTCTGCAGTGCTATTCTTCTAAAAACAACCCCAAGCTAAATAAATGCAGCATTTAATAGTCAACATTTCATTATTTCTTTATAGTTCCATCCCATTCTAGTCTGATGTGGTTTATTCTATCCTTATTCTATTAATATTCCATTCTATTTACCAGGGGCAGTGGCCACAGAGTTTAGTGGCCATATCAGAAGTAGCCAGAGATCTTATTCTGATCAAAAGCCTCAGTTTACCCTGTGATGTTAGTGCCCCCAGTGTATGAACTGAAAGGAATTTGTGAACAAAATCTACCATGTTGGCAGTTCATAGAAGCTTCTGTTATGTGCAGTCTTGTAGTTTCTGGTGGTCACATTCATAATCCACAGCTCCAATGCTTCAGCCCATTGACATCCTGACCAACACAGGTCCCATTCATGCAGCTGTAAGGGACGATTCAGATGATGTGTTTTCCTTGTCATCTCCCTTGGTTTTCAGTTATACATAATTATATCGACAAGGATAACCACTTTATTTGTAACTTCAAAAGGGCCCCAACAATATAAGGTGGACAACACTAAAGGAAGAAGCTTGTTCTCACTTTTGTTCTCCATGCTTTTCCTCAGTGCAAACATGTTTTTGCAGCTCTTTTGAATTTTACAGACTGCCAACTGCTCATGATTGTGTTTTCTGAGTGTGTCTGGTAACTTCTTTATTAAAAAAAAATCTACTATAATTCCTTTTACATGTCCAAAGATAACTTTTTTTTTCCTCACAGAAAACACCCTAAATTGTGCAAAAATAGGAAGCCAGGTATAAGAGACACATCTGTCACTGCCTTCTCCTTTCTCTTCACCAGCAAACCAACAAGTTGGTCTCATCTCCTCCATCCTCCCATCTCTTCAGTTATCCCAATGCAGCTACAGCTTTAAGTCTGTATTTGTTTTTCATACCCTTTGCCTCTCCCTGACACTCTCTACCCAGGCTGCTGGCTAAGATGTTCTAAGACTTCCTGATGGTTTCAGAGAGCTTTTTTTAACTCCTCATGTTCTTAAAAGCCTTATTGCCAATATAGAAACCCAGCCAATATAGAAACCCTTTTCCCTTGGCTTCATCTTCTCTACCACCACCCCATATTGTGTTCAGCAGCCTATAAAGACTGTATCTTCTGCAACCAGCACTAAAAATGCCCTGCATGGTCAACTATGGGGTAAAGCATGAAGCCCCCAAGGGAAGTTGTGCTTCACTTTGATGTCTGTTGTGACTTTAATGCTGTGAAGCATTTCAGTGTACCCCGTGTCTAGAAGGCATTATAACAAACAAAAGTGTTTTGCTGCAGTAACTCAATCAGTTGGTTATTCCTAGCGCTATTGCAAGTTCAGTCAATGTCAGGCCACTGTGGCTGGCATGGGGTGATTATGCAAATAAACCCCAGAATTACCAAATTGTAATCACAGCACAAACACTATCAGCACCTGATTCATCAATCACTCCCTTATTAACTGCTCTGATTAGTATGAGCTGCGAGAAAACCCTCTGGGTTTCATCTACATCTAAATACAGTCATAATTTAGGTGGTCCAATATTGGAGCCATCAGGTTCACACAGTTACTTCATAAATAAAAGGAAAAGACAGCATGCCATCTCCTGCAGCATTAGGCAGGTTAGAGATATATCACAAAACAAATAAATAGCCTAACGTACCTGGTTTTATCACTGCTGCTGTTTGGAAGCTTTCTTTCACTATTAAATTTATCTGCTGCTACTGTAAACTGGGTGATATGTCCCAGAAACAAGCTGCTTTTTGTCTTGGGAATCTTTAGTGGTTCCAAAATGGGATGTGGATGCCAGATTCCTTGGCCTCAGTGAATTCCAGTTGCTCTTCTGCTTTTTTTTTCCCCTCAGTTTCACAACGAATTATTTTGCTTGATGCAGTCTATTGTAAATCACTGCAAAACAAAAAAAATGTATGTTCAATGAATAAATACCTAAAAAAATATAGGCATGCACATAAATCCTCATATACATTGCTGGGATTTTCAGCATGGTACTAGAGAGAAAGAATGATTCTTAGTGAAATAAGCAGTAATTCCTAGTGAAATAGTTGTCTGCCAAGTTACTGTGATATTTTCTGGATTCTGGGATTAGAAGTGGATGTACATACACCGTTCTCGACAAACTCGCTATGAATAACTCTCACGTATTCCAGACATAAAGTTTTTGATGACCATGGAAAAACATGTACAAAACCAAGACAAAAAATGCATATCAAACATTTTTAATTGCTTGTGGATTGAAAAAGATTTCAGGTTACTTCATCTCTTTAAAAATCCAGGGATATTTTATTCATTGACCTACCATTCCCTTTCCCTGCTAGACAGCTGATGTATGTGATTTGTGTATCTGGGGTAAGTTGGTTTAGCTGAGAATTTTAGAGGGAATCAAAGGGCAAAATGTGTTCTGACACTTAATTTTACAAGTACATTTGTTCTGCCAAATAATTAATTCTTTAAATTCTTCCAAAATGGGAAATCGTGCTTTCTGGCCCTTAAGCAGGCTTGTTATTCCTACCCATAGAGTATGAAAAATAACAGCCTTTTTTTGCAGCTATCAGTCCATGTGACACCTCTAATTTACAGCATTGGTAAATACAAATGGAATTAATGCCAGGTAAGGTTTCCAAAGGGCCTGGGAATTGGATATGTTTTCAAAAGACTGTTGACCAAGGATCACAAACTAATCTGTTTAAGGGACATGCCTGGCACACTGTCCTGAACGCAGCGGTGTTGAACTCAGCAGTTTAACATGTCTGGGTAAGCACTGGCAGGATTCACCCCTCCTTAAGTGTCTATATTTTTACAGAGCTGTCTGGACATGTAGGAACAAGTTCTAACCATAACTGACTTATTTACATTGCTCATGCCAATCAAAACGTTAAAGAACTTGGGATATTTAGCACCCCCTTATCTCTTTGTCTGCACATATTGCAATCCACACAAAAGAGGGATTAACTCTTTACCCCTTCTTTCCCGTCCTTTTTCTTTCTTTGCTTTAATTATTTTACATTTTCAATTCATTCTTTTCAGCATCTTTAGATGTAGGGAAGGAATTCTTTACTGTGAGGGTGCTGAGGCGCTGGCACAGGGTGCCCAGAGAAGCTGTAGTTGCCCCATCCCTGGCAGTGTTCAAGGCCAGGTTGGACACAGGGGCTTGGAGCAAGCTGCTCCAGTGGAAGGTGTCCCTGCCCGTGGCAGGGGCTGGAAATGGAGGAGCTTTAAGGTCCCTTCCAACATGAACCATTCCATGGTTCCACCATTCTATGGTTCTACCATTCTATGATCTTTCTGAATTAGTAGGCACAGCTCATCACAAGCCACAGACTTTCTGTAGACCAAAGTTACCAGGATTTCTGTGCTGAAATCAGTCATAGACATGATCATATCATTAGACAACATTCCCATTGTCTCTCTTGTGTCTTTTTTAGTTCATACCCAAATTAAAAGTGCAGGAAGAGTAAATAAATTATCCTAAATCCTGAAAAATCATAAAGTGGTGAAAAATTAGATTGATTTCCAATAGATTCACAGCAATATGAATCATAGAATCACAGAATGGTTTAGGTTGGAAAGGACCTTAAGATCATCCAGTTTCAACCCCCTGCCATGGGCAGGGACACCTCACACTAAAGCATGTTACCCAAGACTCTGACCAACCTGGCCTTAAACACTGACAAGGATGGAGCATTCACAACTTCTTTGGGTAACCTGTGCCAGCACCTCACCACCCTTTAAGACTATTATGTCATATTAGAATGGTTTAAGTGAGAAAAAGAGCTGTTATGAACTTAAATGACTTACAACCTGATGGATTCCTGTCTCTTCAGCACAGTTTCCTTTTCCACAGCAATGTGAATTCCTGACAAATGTTCACTGTGTGCCTGCCATGACCACAATTCTCCTGCACTGGCTGCTGCCACTCAGACTATTGTAGAGTTGGCAATTCCTTCTGAGGGCTAGAATTTTGCATGTGGCCTTATTGAATTGGACTTCATTTTTTCCAGATGACTTTTCCAATCTGTCAAGACAGTTTTGGACATCAGTCCTGTGACCTTGCTTGTTCACATGGATGGCAAATGCCATCAGTCTGTAGAATCGCAAAGTCATGAATTAAAACCTTGACTGATACCTGTGCTACAGCAGGCTTATGCTTTTATTTCCTACTGCATTGTTCTGGTCTGATACTTCTCAAAGAATAGTTATTAATGCTTTGCTATTTTCCAGTCAAACACAGCTATAATAAATAGTAGCATTATCTAATCCTTCTTTCCCAAAATTGCATAGGAAACTATCTAGTGAAATAATGTCCAGACCTTAAGTCATAATATTTGACATCTATGGGTTTTTTCCTCTCCTTCAGGCCTATTGCTTTGTCAAAAAGAATAAGAAATCCAATTTCTTCAACACAGCTTGTTATTTAAGAAGAAATAAGTGTTTGGCTGTTATTCATCCCTCACTTGTCTTTTTCACTCTTACAGACCAAGTATTTATTTCAATATTATTCTGAAAACTGAAATCATGCCAACTCACTGCATCACCTCACCCTTCTTTCCAAAGGTTGCATTGCATTAGTCTTTTGCCATCTCCCTTCCCACTCAGTGTCCTCAAAGGTCACTAGATGGGTTATTTCAACTAGCTCTCAGAATACACATGGGTGGATGTTGTCTAGGGCAGATCATTAGAATCACCTATCTTTTATTCTCCCATTGTAACCTAACTTCTTTTCAGTCATGTCCATTGTGCCAAACACCCAATCACTTCTGAGACAGCATTATTCTTTGTGTCTTTGCCTAACATCCTCCTCTGTCTTGAGATGAGGCGCAACTACGTCATGGACATTTATCTCATTCTTCTTATCAGATGCTTTCTATTACTCTGCCCAACTGATTTTTGTCCCTCTATATCTGTGTTTGTCTAATAAACTTGTCAGTAATGTTTTGATGAACTTTCTGAACCCTGTATATTTTTTACCTGTCTCTGAGATCCTTAAAGGTCTGCTTGGCCAAATAAGTATACAAGGTAAACCAAATAAGGTAGTCTGCATGCCTTCTTTAACAAAACTTTCTTAACACATTGCCAGTTCTCCACAGTTTTTCTCTTTAAAATAGTTCCCTCCTGGGTCTTAACTACTTCAGTTTGAGAAATGCATTTTTCTGAAGGCCATTATCAGTATCTGGCCTTCTTTTCCAGACCCAACCTTACTGTTTCAGTCTCATCCAAGCTGTCTTCTATCTTCATGTCCTCAGCCTGCTCCTACCTATTCTATTAAAAGTCATAACATCTCCTTTTCTCCTTGGTTGGATTTTTTTTTAGTTGCCCATCAAAATTTTATGCTTATTACAGTTCAGATTTTTCTGGGTTCTTTATATACAGTACCTGCTGTACTCTTCTTCCCAGACACGTCTGCATCAAAGAACTCCTGTCTCACATCCAACAGGTATGACTAATAGGTATCACTAAGACTAATTCTGTTAGTTTTCCATAAATGAATTCAAAGCTGTAAAGTGAATCTTTCACACCGAGAGCTGGAAGATGGTTGTGGCACATGCCAAAGATACAGTCAGTGTTTAGCAAAAGAGTGAGTTGTTGCTATACAAGAGACCTTTCACAGTATCACAGTATCACAGTAGGTTAGAGATTGGAAGGGACCTCAAAAGATCATCTAGTCCAATCCCCCTGCCGGAGCAGGAACACCTAGATAAGGTTACACAGGAACGTGTCCAGGCGGGTCTTGAATGTCTCCAAAGAAGGAGATTCCACAACCCCCTGGGCAGCCGTTCCAGTGTTCCGTCACCCTCACTGAGAAGAAGTTTCTTCTCAGGTTTAAGTGGAACCTCTTGTGCTCCAATTTGTATCCATTACCCCTTGTCCTTTCATTGTTTGCCACTGAGAAGAGCCTGGCTCCATCCTCGTGACACTCCCCCTTTATATATTTATATACACTAATAAGGTCACCCCTCAATCTCCTCTTCTCCAAACTGTAGAGACCCAGCTCCCTCAGTCTTTCCTCATAAGGGAGATGCTCCACTCCCTTAATCATCTTAGTTGCCCTGCGCTGGACTCTCTCCAGCAGGTCCCTGTCCTTTTTAAACTGAGGGCCCCAGAACTGGACACAATATTTCAGATGAGGTCTCACCAGGGCAGAGTAGAGGGGAAGGAGGACCTCTCTCGACCTACTAACCACCCCCCTTCTAATACACCCCAGGATGCCATTGGCCTTCTTGGCCACAAGGGCACAGTGTCGGCTCATGGTCACCCTGTCGTCCACCAGGACCCCCAGGTCCCTCTCCCCTACACTGCTCTCTAACAGGTCGTTCCCCAGCCTATACTGGAACCTGGGGTTGTTCCTGCCCAGATGCAGGACTCTACACTTTCCCTTGTTATATTTCATCAAGTTATTCCTTTCTGCAAGCATATCGGTTCTGGCACCCCTCATAAACACTAAACCCAAATCAAACATCAAAGAAAGCCAACTGGTGCACACAGAAGGAAAGGCTGCTTTCAGCAGAACTGAGCCCTTGCTGGTGCTGTTTTGGAGGTCATTCTCATCCCAGCTTTATAGGAAAGCCAAGGCTGTTCCAATTCCAGCATCAGCTCTGTTCTTGGGTACAGTTCTACATAGACTGTGGCCAAGCTCCACAGAGAAGAGCTTTTCGCTAGGTCATTGGCTGGATTGTTTATATTCCTTGTGGTTTATTTGTCTGCTTCATTAGTGCTCGAATCTCTTTGCGCTGTATTTTTTCTACAGGCTGAGTCCTGGATGTTTTAAAATCCTCTAGGAAATTTCTTGTACTGCTTCAATTAGAAGCTTTCTCCCATTTAGCTTATTTCAATGTAGGGCTCTGCATTCAGCTGACAGAGGAACAATAAAAGGAAAATTGGTTGGATCCTGCTATTTGGATAGGCTTAAAAGGTGAACGTTACTGATTGCATGGATTATCTCTTTGGTTTCTTTCCCATTCTGCATGCTCATCTGTATTATGCTCATCACCTTTCTGTCTGAGCAGTTCCTGGTAATGCATTAAGCTATGTGACTTGCATTATTTGCATGGCCGTACTGTTCTCATCTTTCCCCTTCCATTGTGTGCATGGAGACTTTTCCTGTTATTTTAACATTTACTGAAGACACCATCTCTATTAGACATATTGTTACACACTGGTGTTTAAAAAGTCAGGATCAAGGGAAAGAAAGACACCGGTCCTTAACTCAAGAGCCTCAATGACAGCTTTTTGCTGGGAACAAAAGGAGATTTATCCAATTCAAAGAAATTTGCACTAGAAGAGTAAAAGTATGAGCTGTAATTTTTGTTTAATGGATATTGTTGATCTCCATGATTCAGCCCAAACTGCTCTTCATATCAGAATCCAATCACTAATTTTGTATAATTACCCATAAATGTAAACCTCGTTTTGAAGCTTCAAGTTTACTTTCTGTTAGGCAAAGCACTGCTGCCTATGGATTTTGTTGGCATCTTGCACCTTTATCAGTATGCCATGCTTGTCTCTTCTCCTTGATTTCAATGCATCTAAAAAAAGTATCTTGAGTGAAGTGTCTACGATGATTCATGGTTGTGAGTGCCAAGAGTTAGAGGCAAGCACACAATGCAAATGTACAAAATGAATCAAGTACTGAGTTGGTCAACTTGTTCAACATCATTTCAATGAGTGTCCCACACACCTGAACGTGTATCACACCTGGCACAGGTCTTACCTGGCATGTCCTGCTTTAGCTACACCTCCTAGTTAAACAAGCATCACTGTGATTTGCTGCTGTGGAGCTAACCTGGTTTCTGGAAACAAGCTCCAATCGAGCAAGTATCTCAGCAGTGTAGTTTTACTTAATAGGAACGTGTTGCTCTGAGTACAGTTTTGAAGGATACAGCATTGCTTTGGGAAAGTCAGCACTGCAAAGAATCCACTCAAGCTGTCCAGCAGATACTTGGGAATTAAGTGTATCATATGAGAAGGAAACAACGCATCTTCTAATCTTTGCCAGCCACATAGAGATCCATCTCTCTTATGTTTCACATCTTGAGACAATGACCACAATGAGAATTGACTTAAATCCCACAGACCCTGTTTCTGCTTGCAAATTGGCTTAAGCTCATCTCCTAATCAGGTAGCTGAACCATTTATGTTTCTTGGCTGAAGTCCAGTCTGGGTTCATCTCTCATGAAATCGTTCCACTTCATTAACCAGTCTAGTGATCCTGAATCAGCCATTATGGGAAAATACAACGCACACAGCCCGAAAAGAGAAGAAGACCAAGGCAGATTTCAGATACAAGCCTTTGTCTGTCTTGTGACAGATCTTGAAGGCTGCTTCTCAAAAGAATGTTCCAGATCCTCCCCACCTTTTTCAGCTTGGCATATAGAGCCAAACACCCCCTGAGACAGACATGGGATTATGAGTGGGATCAGTACGATGGCAGATCCACCTTTCTTCTTGCTGGTTCTGGCACACACAGCCTCAGTGCACTGACCTCATCACTCTTAGAATCATAGAATCAAATAGGTTTGAAAAGACCTTTAAGATGATCAAGTCTAACCATCTCTTGCCCTAGACTATTCCTAGGGGTAGATCAGGGAATGGATTGGGCGGCTTAGTGAGGCACATCAGCCCTAACTGGAATCAAAGGTGTGCCTTTTATTAGTCATAGAATCATAGAATAATTAAGGAAAGCCTTAAGATCATCTAGTCCTAATCCTTGCCATGGGCAGGGACACCTTTCACTAACCATGTCATCCAAGGCTCTGTCTAACCTGGTCTTGAACACTGGGAGAATTCGACCATGGCACGAAATCACAACATTTCCTTGTGCATTCTCACTACGTACTACTATTTTCAGCTCAGAATGTTTCCTGAATCTGATGTAATTTAGTAATCTATTTCTTCAAATACTTGTGCAAACTTTTCCAGGAGCCAAATAAACTTTCTGTGGCACAACATCCTCTGGCAAAGAAGTTGTATCTTTTTAATCTGACAT